TCATCTCTTTGAACTGGAACTGCAGGACGCTGTGATTCTGACGTTCGCGCTCAAGCTCCTGAAAACACAACAGATACTACCTCGTTAGTACTTCTTCTACCTCGTTAGTATTTCTGCTACCTCATCAGTACTTCTGCTACCTCGTTAATACTTCTGCTACCTCATCAGTACTTCTGCTACCTCGTCAGTACTTCTGCTACCTCGTTAATACTTCTGCTACCTCGTTAGTATTTCTGCTACCTCGTTAGTACTTCTGCTACCTCGTTAGTACTACAACACATGAACGTTTAGGATGTGCCCCGCCCACAGCTCCCTCTGATTGGGTCTCATCACCAGCAGCAGCCAGTCGGCCTGCCGATGGCGTCACCTTGGTGCGGTCGTCGTGGCGCCGGCGGGCCTCCCACAGCAGCTCCTCCATGTCGCCGAGCTCCTCCCTCAGCGTGTCCACCTGGAACATCAGGGTGGACTTGTCGTTGTGCAGCTGAGCGTTGGACACCATCGCCTTGCGGTACTTCTCCTCCGCCTCGGCCAGCGAGTCCTTCATGTCTCTGATGGAGGCCTCGGTTTCCACGGAGAACGACGTGTCGCAGCTGCCTCGGCGCGATGAGGCTCCGCCCAGCGAGGCGAGCGTGGCGGCGGACAGCGTGGACGCCGTCCTCGAGCCCTGAGAGCCAGAGCCACAGTTAACCTCACATCTACACGTTTGAACATGGGTTCTACTGGGCTTCAAACACGTCCCGATCAGAACACACGAGTTTGGACTCGGCAGCATGAACCACACATAGAGGACATGAACTCACCTTGTCCAGGAAGTCTCTGTCGGGCCGCTCCTCCACCTGGACACACAAACACAAACACACTGACTAGCTGATGCTGTGTTACCATGGAGACACAGGTGATGCTGTCGTTGCGCTTTGAACAGAAACTTTATCAACAGCAGGACAACAAACAGGAAGCAGAGACGAGCTCCAGAGCTGAGGGGGGACACCGGCACACACACACCCAGAAAACAGAGCTCACCACTGGGCTCGCACGAGCAGAACTCGCCCTGGAGGAGGCCCGAGAGCTGGAGCCCAGAAACCCACTGTAGTCTGAAGGCTGGGGGGGGAGGGAGGGAGGAGGAGGGGAGGAAGGAAGGGAGGAGGGAGGAGGGGAGGGAATACAAGAAGGAAGGAAGGAGGGAAAGAAGGAGGCAAGGAGGAAAGACAGAATGGAAGGAAGGAGGAACGAAGGAAAGGAGGGAGGAAAGAAGGAGACAAGGATGCAAGAAAGGACAAAAGGAAGGCGGGAGGAAAGGAGGAGACAAGGATGTAAGAAAGGACAGAAGGAAGGCGGGAGGAAAGGAGGAAACAGAAGCAGAGAACAGGAAGTCATGTTAGTAGGTCACAAATTTACAGGTCCTCAACAGAAAACTGATTGATAATCAATCAAGTGAAGATGGAAACTTGTCTGATCAATAAGTCGTCTGATCACAGAGATCAGCGAGGAACGAAGGACATGAGCACGACTGATGGACTGATTCCACCGATCGATCAGCTCTATTGATCCACACGCCAGAGTCCACTCAGAAAACAGTCGATTTAGATGTGAGCTGTGAGGAGCCTTATTGATCACAACAGCTGCTATTGATTATTGATCACTGATCAGCTGATCACTGACTCTGTTTTAAACTGCAGCAGCTCAGTTTCACAAAATTACAGAGACACAAATTCAGCATATTTCAGGTATTGATGCTAAATATGCTAACGGTGCTAACAACCATGATAGTGCTATCAATACTAACATTATTAACAGTGCTAACAATGCTAAGAACCCTAACCATGCTAACAATGTTAACAATCCTAACAATGCTAACAGTGCTAACAATGTTAACAGCCTTAACAGTGCTAACAAAGCTAACAACCCTAACAATGCTAACAGTGCTAACAACCCAAATATGCTAACAATCCTAACAGTGCTAACAGTCCTAACAATGCCAACAATCCTAACAGTGCTAACAACCCTAAATGTGCTAACAATGCTAACAGTGCTAAAAGTGCTAACAGTCCTAACAGCGCTAACAATCCCAACAACACAAACAATGCTAACAATGCTAACAGTGCTAACAATGTTAACAGTGCTAACAATGCTAATAACCCTAACAATGCTTACATTCCTAACAGTGCTAACAGTCCTAACAGTGCTAACAATCCTAACAATGCTAACAGTCTTAACAGTGGTAACAATGCTAACAGTGCTAACAGTCCTAATAGTGGTAACAATGCTAACAGTGCAAACAATGCTAACAGTGCTAACACTCACCCTCAGGCTGCCCCGACTCCCCACAGACATCCTCTCCTCGTCGTCCGACACCTGCAGACAGACACACAACTCAAGTGAGCTTTAGCTACGCCAACTGAAGCTGTGTACGCCTGTATGTCTCTGCCGCCAGGTGAGCTTTGGACCAGACAGAAAGTCCGTCTGGTCCTTGTTCACCTCCACAGGTAACAGAAACACCTGACGTCTCCTCACTGAGGCGGTAAAGAAAGAAGAAGAGGAAGGTACAGACCGAGGCGTGTCTCCGTGAGTGGCGAGAATACCGCTCACTGTCCTCCTGAAAGGCCACGAAGGAGAAGAAGGAGAAGAAGAAGACACACGTTAAAGAGCTGAAAGTGAAGAAGAAGAAGAAGAAGAAGCAGGCAGCCTGACAGACAGCGAGCAGGAAGGAAATACACAGCAAGCAGGAGCCTGTCAGTCATGCTGAGGGGATTAAAGGCAGACAGCGAGCAGAGCAAAGCGACGAATAAACGTAAAATTAAAAACGTAGAATATACTTTAGAAATACTAAATAAAGGCACATAAATAAAATTATATACAATAATGAAAAAATACTAAAAAATAAATAAATGCACATAATTAAAAATATTATATAGAAAAATAAAACAAATAAAACAGAAGAAAAAAAATCTTGTAGAAAACTAAACGAATAAAAATGTATTAATTTAATTAAAAAGTAAAGACAAAAAAATAAAATCAAATGTGTGATAAATAAAAATACATTTAAAAATGCAATAATGTTAAT